CGCGGCGGGCGCCGCTTTGAACCGCCGGGGCGACGGTATTACGATCAATGCAGCAGTTGTATCAATATTCCCAGACTCGGAGTACTGAACGATATGTATCAAGGCGGAGAGGACGCGCGTTGTGCGGCGCCGGCGCCGGTGGGTTAGAAAAAAAAGGTGGATTGTTGATGATCGGTCGGGTTGAAAGGTGTGAGCTTGATTGAGTTAGCGCCGGGGGTCACACGAGCACGTACGACTGCTGGGATGAAGGAACGTTTGTGGATTGTGCGGCAGGGTGGTACGACCCTGTAGTGGGTTGGGGATCGAGGTGCGCTGGAGGTGATTAGAAGAGGCAACGGTGCGCTGGCGCATCAAATGAGATGGAGGTACGGAATATGCCGTTGCTTGGCATTTTGGATGGACCCCTGAGACCGCAGTGTGTACCCGGCGAATACATGGACATTCATTTCACTGATATTGGTTCGCTTTGACCACTGCGATGTCGCTGCTGTTGCTGTCTCCGCCGCCAATGTCCCCGCCAATGCTGCAGAAATCCATTCTGCTGCCCAGCCAGGCGAGCACAAACTCGCTCTCCAGTTCCACCAGTGCATCGAGCGAAAGCGGGAGCTCGAGCACAAGCAGCCACACCAGCAACAGCATCCACACAAGACCAACGAAAATTCGCTTTGCGCCCCTGCCCGACCCGCGCCGCGATGACTCCCCCGGTCCCCACCAAGACCCGCCCCCGCCGTCGCCCATGCCCTTCCGCACCGACGCCAGCCTCCCGCCCTCCCCCGCCGCGTCCCCCGCCCCCGCCGCCGCTGCGTCCCTCCCGCCGCTGCCCCCGCCGTCCTCCTTCCACCCGCCCCCCGTCTCCAAGAGCGGCACCTGGCCCAAAGGGAAGAGCCTCCTGCGCTCGTTCCGCAAGGGGCCCGGCACCCCCGCGTCCTCCACAGACAGCCTCACCCCCACGCCTTCGCTCGACGCCGAGCCCGGCTGGGGCGCCGCCCTCACCCGCTGGGGCTCCGCCGCCTCCGCCACGGGGAGCCCCCTCGCACGCACCCAGAGCCAGTCGAGCACCGCCTCCACCGCGACGAACAAGACGAAGCGCTCCAGGGGGCGCTCGCTCTTCAGCATTGGGTCTAGTAGCGATAACGAGGGAGCAGGGGGCAAGGGCAAGGGAAGGAGCAGCAGCGTCGGCGGGAGGAGCGTGCCCCTCCCGCCCGCGCTGAACCCGTTCGCGAATTCGCTGGGTGGGGACCAGCGGAAACAAGGGACGAGGATGTTAAATGGGAGGGTCTATGGCAACCGCGGCTCAAATGGTCAGTTTTTCCATTCTTTCTGCTCTTGTCTTTTCTCTCGTCTTTCCTTGGCCTTGGCATTTGGGTATGCCCCACCGTTCGCTGGCGCCATATCTCCGACCGCGTTTCCACTTCCCTTGGCTTTCGCCCGTGTGTGCTGGCGTTCTGCTTTTATATCCGCGGCCCATGGTACCTTTCGTTTCGTTTCGTCGTACTCTATTCTATTCAGTTTTATTCCATTGGACTCTAGTCCTTCTATTCTCCGCCAACCTCCCTTCGTTTCCTTTCGTCCTACTCCATTCTATTCACCATATTCTTCTACGTATCCTCCGTGTTTCTATTTTGCTTTCCCCTTCTCCTCCCTACCCCAATGCTAACTCCCTCTTCACACAGGCCCCCAAAACCAAAACCTCTTCGCCTCCGCGCGCGACACCGAGCCCGAGTTTGTCGAGTGGGGCTACGGCGGCATGGGCAGCGTCCGCAACGGCCACGCCGCGTGGAAGGGCGTCCAGGGGGGAAGTGGTGCGTTGTGTTTCTGCTTGGTGTTTTCGGTCTTCGGTCCCTTCTCTCTTGATCTTTTGGTTTTTTACGCGCTCTCTTCTCTCTCTCTTCATCTTTTGTTTTCTCCACTTCTGCGCGTGGTGGATGTGTGTGTGCGGGCGCTGCGCTGCGTGGGATTCGCCGCTGGGCTCGGGCTTGGGCTTGGGCTTGGGCTCGGACTTGGCGCGTCTTGGCGTGATCCCCGTGCGACGGTGGCGGCTGCCTCGTGTGTTTGGGTTTGGGTCCCGCTACGCCAGGACTCGGGTCAGGCGGTATGGCGGCGCGTTTGAGCGCCGGCGTTTTGACGACTTGGCGTAATTCGGGTTATTCGGCTGCGGGGTCCCATACATAAACCATAAAGACGGGCAAGACGGCGCCGGCGCGAGGACTGAAGACCGGGAAGGTCAGTGCGGTTGCCGTAATGGCGCGACCCGGGACTGAGGGCCGCTCGTGGGTTGGCGGTCGGCGAGAAGAGGAAGACCGCGACCGAGGACTCGGATATGAGCGCAACCCCAGACCCCAGACAAGATCAAGGTCAGGCGGTACGAGTGTGGAGCGCTATCTGCTGCGCGACTACTCGGGCAACGTTCTTCCCTTCGTCTGGGATCTTGATTTTTCTTTTTTTGCTCTCCTTGAACGGAGATCTTTATTTTGCTCCTTCTCCTTGACGGGGGAGTGGGTCTGCTGCTTCTTGTGCTAGAGCGGCATTGAAGCTGGAGCTAGTCCCTTACACGAGAAGCGCAGTGTGAGCTGCGGCGAGGTCGATCGAGTGTGCTTCTCGGCTCTAGATGAGGAAGCGCCCTGTTCGACTTCGATGGCGATGGTGAGACGTTTCCAGTCCGCGGGTTCTTGAACGGAGTTCAGCTTTCTACTCGAGATCCTTCATCTTCATGATCAAGAACAGCGGCTTTCTTTCCTGGTTTTCTGTTTTTCATTATTTTTTGGGGGCTTTATTCCTCTTTCCTCGCGGCTTTTACTCCCTTCTTCCGCCCTCTCATCCCCAAACCAAATACTAACCTCGCAACCTCCCCAGGTTCCAAACCAAACGGCACCGCGACAACAAACGGGAACGGCCATGCGCACGGCGCGGTGGGGATGGGCGTTGTCTCGTCGGGGGGTGCGGACGACGAGGACGACGGGAGCGGGATGGGGTGGGTGAGGAGGCGGAGAGAGGCGAGGGAGCGGGAGCGGCTCGAGAAGGAGGCGAGGGAACAGAAGGAGCGGGAGGAGAAGGAGGCGGCTGCGACAGCTACCGGTGAGGGCGACGGGGACGGGGGTACGGGTGCGGACGGGGACGCGAAGAAGGAGGAGAGCGGGGACGCGAAGCCAAAAGCCGATAGCGAAGCGAAGGAGGGAGAAAAGCAGAGCCAGCACCACGAGGAGGACCAAAACGACAACGGGAGCGGGACGCCGACGCCTACGGCGGACAAGCCGCCCTTTTCGGGGCTCACGCCGCTTGCTGCCCCGTCACCGACGGTCCCCCCGCGCATTCGCCTGTTGCGTCACCAGCGCCCTCCGCCCCGGGGACGCCCGCCGTGCCCCCGTCGCTCCTCAACAATCATAGCCATTCCCACGGCAGCGCGGTGGGGACGCCGACGGAGGAGCACCACGTGCTGCAGGCGGTGAAACTGCCCGCTGGGTTCAGGGGGCATCATCATTCGCATTCGCACTCGCACTCGCATGGGCATACTCGGAGCGCGTCGAGCTCGGCGAATGCGCTCTTGGGCGCGGGCGCGGTGCCGGTTATAGATGTGACGAGCGAAGATCCCGCGGCCGCTACCCCCGGGAGCGGGAGCGGGAGCAGCTCGGGTTCGAGTTCGGCGGATTCGGATGAGGAGAGCGAGGACGAAGACGACGAGAGGAGGAAGGGTGGGGATAGAGAAAGAAATCCAACGAGGACGAAGATGACGACGAGGACGACGAGGACGACGAAGACGAGGAAGAGGCAGAGAAGCGGCGCGTGACGGCGCTGGGGGCGGGGGTGGAGAAGATCAGCCGGCATAAGGAATAACGCGCTGCAAGAGGGTTATTCATCCGCTGCAAGCTAGCTTATTCGTTATGCCCGGCACCGACGCCCAACGTTCCTCGCTGGCTGGGAACACAAGACGAGGCGCTTGAACGTTGAGGCCCCACCCCTTGCCACTTTTTTCCCCACGCCACCCCCCACCCCCATTTCTCGACATACACCTGCCTGCCTCCTGCCTCCTTATATAACACCTACCCGCACCTCAATACGCCAATACACCACGCCGCAGCCTCATTTCGACTTGTTTATTTCTCCGAATTCCCGAGTCCGAGGCCGCGCTTACGCCTCCGTTATGACAATGGGACAGATAGGGGACCCAGAAGAGATAGGGGACCCACGTAGCGCTCCGCGTGTTGGGGTTACCGCTCCCGTCCAACCCGTCCAAGCGAGAGCAAGCAAGAAAGATTCAAGTTCAAGAAAGAGCAGCACCCATGACCGCGACGACGATACCACGCACACCATACCATATTATATCGTGCCTGACGCATGCCACCCCACCCACAACCCAAGAAAAAGAGTAGTGTACATTCGACTAGTTGTGAGTGCCCCGTTTCTTCTCTTCACAATACCTCGCGTACTCACTGTGTATTTCGTTTCATTATTCCCAGCCGCCCGCCCTTGCCTGCACACATACATAGTACACTATCCCGCCCCCGCGCGCCTGCGCCCATGTACATACGCACGCCGCCTCTTCGCCTACCCTACTCTACACACACCCCATTTAGTTCATCCAGCCACAACCCCCTCTCAACCTCAACCTTCATTTTCATTTCGATCTTGTCTGTTTGCCTGTTTGTTTTACTTTTCACTTATGGGTCTTATGCCGCTTTTTTTTCTTCCGGTCACCTTGTATGTACATTTGGGTTGTCTGCATATTACACGATACATTTTGTTTTTCCGCCTGCCTGCCGACCTACATAATACGTTTGTTTCCTGTTGATGTCCTATTGCTCGCCTCCCCTCTGCTCTCCTCTACGCACAAGTAAATCGAATCATTTCGTCTCGTCCTACGTATTATACCTCCAGTTGCACGATGCACTAGTACTGTACATACAAACTACATTGATCAGACATTGGTTCTATTAAGGGAAGAGGTTGGAAGGTTCTGCGGTCGTGAGAAAAGAAACAAAGTGGAGAACATACGGGCAAAAAAATTCCCGCTAGCCGATTTGAACGACTGACCTCGTCATTGATCTGAGATACTAGTGACGCGCTCTACCAACTGAGCTAAGAGGGAGATACAATTTTCTGGTCGAGTTCCGATTTGGGGCGCATGAGGCTTTCAAATACCGGCGGGACGACGCAAAAAGAAAAGATTCCCGCTAGCCGATTTGAACGACTGACCTCGTCATAGACTTTGGAAGCTATACCAACTGGTTGTACTAGTGACGCGCCTACCAACTGAGCTAAGAGGAATTGAATAAGGTGCAAAGCACACGAGCCGTGGCTTGTCATTGTGCAAGCTGGATAAACGATGATTATGATAATATAGAAAACAAATCATAAAAAAAAACAAAATATGTGGATATTTTGACTCACAACCCGTGGCACCGCCCCCGCTCCTGACAGCTCCACCCAACTGAGCTGATAAGGAGGGGAATTGGACATCTAATGTGGATCCTAAGCAGTAAATACTGTCACGATGCGATTAGTTTTTCAGTTCTCGGAAGCAATTGATGAACTTCTTCCCATCTTGAATGGCCATGGCTTCTTGCTTCAGTTCCTCCCTCTCAACGGACGTGCTTCCCTATTAGGTCAAGCCTAATGCAAAATTCTATCACACACAAGCATCTAAGTATCTATGAAGCAAGTTGTACTCTTGGCTCACGCTACGAACCGGCGCGATTCCTCTGTTTGACGCACGACCTCAGTGACCACTGATTTCACGCCTGACTTGAATATGCAACTGCATGTAAGTAAGTGTCAAATTTTTTGATGTTTTTCTGTATGTGTGGCCACAGTTATATGTGGCAACAATGCCGCCACTCTCGCCACCCTCACCACAAGAGCTATATAATTTGCTGGTCCGTCTTGCCACAATGATCACTGCCCAACCTTGAACCACCATCGCTGACTTGCTTGCTATATCTACACTCCATGAGTAAGGGACATTCAACCACCCACTGTTTTTCAAATTCTGACTCGTTTATGTTTTGTAGACTGGCCCTGCGTCACAGACTGGGTTGTAGTAGCCAGGATGAGGACATTCGTCAGACAGAGGGGCGGGAATTTGCAGATTTCTCAAAGGCATTGCCTTGCAATGATACCACTAAGAAGTTGTTTCAAGGCACCCACCTTGTGGCGCAAGCAATTGCCAAGGCATGTAAGGATGAAGATGAAGACGCCGCCGCTTTCGACAAACTTGACGAAGCTCAGTGGAACATGCTCGAGAAAAAGTATGAAAGATGCAGTCGTTTTCCTTCCGTGGTAGCCGTCGATTGAAGATCACCTCGCATAGTATCAAGTCTCTCCAAAAAGACCTGGAAGGCGGCAGTATTTCCTCGAATCTACTTGGCCGAAACGAAATTATTCAAGGAAATGTTAGAGACCGTAGCGTGCGGAGAGACCATAGCACTCGGATGATAGTGAGCATTTTCTCTACTTTTCATTCCAAACTCATATCCTCCAAGATGCCGGATGTCATGAATGTAGATGTTGGTGAAAGCTGCTTTACTGATGACTATTCGTAGTACCGTACATTTACGGTGCCATGTCAATTTCACCGTCTGTTTGAAAGGCCGACACTCTGCTGCCGTCCAGTTGCCTGTCTACAACCAAGCACTATGTACCACCCTTAGGTTTTCCCTTTCCAAGACAGTACAACGCGCCTCTACTCTAGGAATGTTCCAGCCTCGAGCTTTGCATTTCTCCTACCACCCTCATAAGAACAGTCGCGACTGGAACTCTCGAGTCCCAAGACTTGACAATGCATTTGTCAAGCACATGCTTTCGAGTTCAACTAAAACTCTTCAAATTGAGACCTGGCCAGCAGAAATTTGTATAAAGACAGTCATAAACTCGTAAAGGTCATTACAGTCATCAAGTTCATAAAGTATCGTAAAGGTCATGAAGTCGTTATGGTCCGTAAAAAAATCATTAAAGTCATGAAAGTTCGTGAAAGGTCGTGAAAGATCGTGAAAGATCGTGAATGGTCGTGGAAGTCGTCAAGGTCGTCAAAGGTCGTCAAAGTTGTGATTGACATGAACGCAGCCGGGAGAGCGCAGCGTGCCGGTGCCAAGCGGTCATCAGAAGCTGGAAGCCGGGTATAGTCTCCGTCGAGGTAGCGAGCGGCGGAGTGGAAGTGGAATGGTGTACGGAAGGTGTCGGTGCCTGTGGGCGTGGCGAGTCGGAAGACGGGACTCGAACCCGGTGGGCGGCGACGGCGACGGCGACACTGGTCTCCTGACTAAAAGAAGGAAGGATTTGTGAGCTTAGGATAGCCGAGAGAGAAAACAAATAAACGTACCACAACGAACTACATCACCAATAACCCCAGTCCCAAAAGAAACCCAACAAGACGCTCCGCGAGTAGAAGCGCGTCCGCCCCCGCGGCCGGCACCCTGCTGAGCTTGGATATCCCGACTGCGTGCCGTGGTGCGCTGCGCACAAAGGCGTCCCCCTGCGCCGCGCCTTGGCCGTCACGCCGCAGTCCTTGAGGGTGTTGGAGTTGAAGAGGTGACGGAGCGCGTATGATGAGGAAGATGTGTCGTAGTCGTCGCGCGCCAGCGAGGCAAGTGCAGGTGAAGGACAGCGGGGCGACGTGGTGTTGAGTACGGCCTCGATCCACGTCTATCCGTCCCCAACCTGCCCACATCTCGCACGTGGCGCTGCCCACCGCTTTCGTCCGTCTTGCATGTCAACTCGAAGGCTCGACGGGGGAGGCGTCCGGACCAGTCGGAAGGAAAGATGTGAGCGAGATAGAGGATGGATGGTGTAGGGGTGGTAGAAGCCGGGGGAGTTGCGGCGGGGTATACTAGCGGCCGGCGCTCGTGTTCGGGTTTTGTTTTCTTGTTTTCTGCGGATAACATCGTCAGCGCCGACCATAGACACGTTGTGCAAGAATGCATACCTTATGGGGTATCGAGGTGGAAATGCGGAGAAACATCTTGGCGGCGACACTAGATGCATGCGGGTTAGCGTCGACGTCGTGAGTGATTAGGGTTACTACTCACTGAAAAGACCTAGGGTTAGACCAGGCCGAAACCAAGTCATTGGAAGAGGATGGGAGTGGTAGTGGGAAGAGCTGAGAGCTGGGGTCTGTAGAGAAGGCGGGGAAATATTTATACGTTTCCAGAGAGGCTGACGTTTGGCTGAGTTTGCGCCCTTGACTGCCATATATGGTTTCTTGCGATTATATCACCGATGACCGTCATTGATGTGGAATGCAGCCCCTAGGAGTCGGGGCATGAACGGGCCGACCCGTGCGCGTAGATTTCTCGAGATTCGGAAATGTTGCATTGACCTAGGACTTGACAGAAGTAGTCTTTGCCATTTGTGCACAACTGCCTTCCGTCGGCAGTTTGAGCGACGAGATTAGGCGTCGTATGGCATTCAAGTAATTGCAATTATTGGCAGTCGAATAGCGAATACAGTTTTGAGTGGACAATAGTCAAGGGCAGCAAAGGTTGGCGTTGAAATCAGCAGCAGGGCTTTTCATTGGCAGAGTCTGATTAACGATATTCCGCCATCTTAGTTATTGTGAGTTTCAGAGAGAACACAGTTTCAAGAAACAGAGATAGTTTCTCATGAGATGCCATGTCGACGCCTCGGAGGCGCGATTATGCCTGGGATTTGAAGCGGCGGAGTCAACGAGAGAGAGTGCCGTAAACCTGGTATACGAGTCCTGAGTTGCCTTTGAAAGTCCTAGCCAGTGGCGGTCCGGAATTCTGGAGGCCTCTGCATGACGGTTTTCCCTTAGACAGCAAGTCTCAGTAGTGCGACTACCGAATAGGCGACGTATTGCTCCATGGCATTTATTGCGAGCTTGAAATAGTGGACACAGTTTAAGGTAGACAACAGAGATGGTTTTCCCGTGAGAAGGAAGATTGCAGCGCGGCCCAAACTCGACGCCCAGGCGGTATGTGTGAAAGATCGAAATTGGGAACAGATTCTCACGATCGCTTAAGCGCGCATACAACCACTTTGCCACAACTTTCTACCATGGGCCATACGAAACGCAAACGCACAGGCGCAGCACCGGAAAGCTCCCCGCCGAAGAAGCGGGCGCGTCGCGTCGCGAAGCAGACCACAATCCCCATCATCGACGTGCACGATTCGGATACGAGCGAAATCGTCGCGCTGCGCAAAGGGCGCAAGCCGAAACCCGCAACCAAGTCTGAGTCTGCGCCGTCCCCCAAGAAGAAGAAGAGGGCGCAGCCGCCACCGGTGGCAAGCCAAGATTCTGACTCGGACGCGTCGGACGCGGTCAGTTCGCAGCGCAAACGGATTCGGCGAAAGGTGCTGCAGTCTGATTCCGACGAGGAGGTTCGGGACGACGCGCCGAAACGTCTGCGACGCGTCAGGAAATCTTCACCCATGGATGAGGAGAGTGATTCTCTGGCGGACTCTCCGCGAAAAGGGAGGCTTCGTCGCAAATCCGATGCTGAGGATAGTGGCAAGACGCCGGCACTCTTGGAATTGGATTCGGATGACGATCCTGAGGACCTTGAATTACCCGTCCAACCCACTGTCTCCAGGCCTCAGCGAAGGAGCTAAAATCCAGCGCACTGGCGCGCTACGCCAAAGCCCGGAAGACCAAGTCGTCGCCGGCACCCATGCCTGCGGACGCCGTTGACGAGGAGAAGAGGGAGTTCACTCCGTTCTCAGATGCCGAGGATGATGGATTAGAGGACGTAGCCGAAGAAGAAGACGAAGATGTAGAGGACGCAGAGGACACCTTCATCGTCGATGAGGATGAGGGGGACGCCGACGCAAATGCTGCTCTTGAACGCATGCGCTACTCCAGCCGCGAACTCGACGAGCATTTTGCCGTGTTCGTCGAATACATCATCGCGCTCCACTCCGATCCCGAATATCTTTCGACGGCGACCGAGGACGAGAGTACGCGTTCTTTCAACATCAATTATCTGTCTGTTTATTGACCCAATTTTTGAAGAGGAGTACTTTGACACGGCAGTAAATGCTCTGCGGCGCCACCTCGACCCACTCGCAGACTCGATGACGCTCTCGACATGGAAGGCGCCATTTATCGCTACGCTAAACCTGCGGCCCGTTCTCGAAGATGGCCTCTCGACTGAAGGCACCGGCGACTGCCACGCGTGCTGGACTCGTGGCATGTACGCATGCGATATCAGCGGGGCGTACACCATCTCTACCAAGAAGGGCATCTACGACCACGACACGTTCGAGGCTAGTACACGACGGTAGGACGAAATGGACGCCGCATTTATGTTTTA